AGTTTATCCAATCTAACATGTTTACATGTGGATGAAGAGACAAAAGAAAAACAACATTAGCGTGTATTATACATGTTTCGCTCAGTCAGCTTTGTCAAGTTATGACTTGATAAAGCTCACCTTGAGCAAAATATTTATAGTAAAGGCTTATGCTATTTAATGTTGATTCATAGCTTCTATATATGCTTCTAAACTGTTGTATTCTGAGCACCTCTGCAAAAACAGTGATTATGTGTGAGTGAGGTGAAAGTATTGAATGATGATGAAAGTATTTTCTTTCTTTTTGGGTCACCCTGCCTCGGTGGGAGACGGCCGACTTGTTAAAAAAAAAAAAATCATAGCTTCTTATACCGTGCTTAATATGTCTGCTGGATGTTCCTGCAGCCAGTCATTTTTAAGACTACACTTCATCAATGTACTTTCAAACAACATATCTGCAAGATTTTCGTTCATCTTTTTTATTATTTGCAGAGGAAGAGTGAACGAGCTTCTTACTGCTGCAACTTTAATAAGGGAAGGATTCTAACATTTTTTTTCACGGGATTAGGAAGTAAAGTTAGAGATTTAATCAATCTGCAAAAAAAAAAAAAATACAGAGTATGCCTTTATCTTGCTCGTCATGGTAATGTGTTACCATGTTTTCTGGCACATAAGGCACATATTCAATGTTTCCAAGCGGTTGTAACATAATGTTATTAAACAACCACTAAAGCCTAACCCAACTCCTACTCTTGACTCTGACCTTGAGCATATAAGGCACAGGCTGATTTTTTTGAAGACTTTTTTGGGGGAAAGAAAATGGTGTTTTATATGCCAGAAAATATGATATAAGAAATAGCGGCGTGAGTTCGTGTGCAAACCTATGATTTCATAAAAAAAAAAATGGATGGGGAACTCTCTTGCCATAGGTTCTATCCCTGCCCATTCTGTGGTTTGTTTGTATTTGTTTTATTACAGTTTCATGAGCTGTGATTTCATAGTAAATGTGGAGTTAGGTTGGATAATATAAAGACACTTATTACACAGTAAGCCTTTATTAAACATTGTTTTGCTCAAAGCTGAACTTATTCAAGTTATGAGGGTTAGGTTGCAAACTCCTTAAGGTCTCTAGAGCCAGCATAGTATTCCCAAATCTGTCTAATACACATGTTGTACTGTTCCTGTACAAAACTCATGTTATCTTTGCAGCTGATGAACATGGCTTAAGCCACATAGCTTTTAATATTTTCTACCTCAAATCATATCAACTTTTTTACTCAGTGGGCTATGGCCCAGCATGGGGACCATCAGTGGGTTACTATAAATGACAGATATAAATACAAATTTGTATTTCTTTGGAAAGGTTACATGTCCAAGCATTTCAGATAAACTAAATACAAATGCTGACACACTACTTAAAACTACACAGGTTATGTAGTGGTAAATTTTCATTATTCATTATTTTACCTTATTAATAAAGTGAGGTAGCCAAAAATTTTGTAATTAAGATTTATAGTAATGGGGTAGCAAAAAACAAATAACAGTATTACAATTAGTACAGTTTACAATGTTACAACAGTACAGCTTTAAGCATGTATGTTTTACATTGATCAAGCGGTCCTAAGTTGTTTTGGTTTTTTGAGTTGTTTCAAACTGGTTGAATGATTTAGTATAGTGTTGGGAGATGAGATGATTTTTAAGTTTAGCCCCAAATTGACTGGTGAATCGTCTGGAAAATTTGGCAGAGAAAGTGTTATATAAACACCTGAGTAATACTGCAGGTTCTTCAACTTCATGAATAATTTTTAGATTTGTTTCTAGTGTAAACACTACCCTGAGTTCTTCTTGGAATTTTCTTGGAGTACAAGAACACTTGTGAAACATTTGGGAGAGTCCACAGTGCAAGAATGCATTGCAAATCCAGGTGGAAGAGACGGCAAGCAGATGAAAAGACACACAAGTGCAAAAATCTGTACATATATTACATTTCACTCAGGAAAACTTAATCAAGTTATTTAAAGCTTTCCTTGAGTGACACATAGTTATAATAGAGGATTACACTATTGTATGTTTCTCTTCATCCACTACAGATTCAGATTGTACATACAGCTGCATGTTCCTCAACACCCACAGTGTTGCATTTAATCCAAGGGGCCCCAAGTTTATATACAGTATACTGTAAATTTAGAGTGTATAAAGTATAATATTGAACATTAATAATTAATGTATCTCGTTGTACAGTACAGAATATTGGATATAGTAATGTAAACTTTAATGTTTTACATTATTTATCAGTCTTATATAACAGTAATAAACAATCCTTAAGACTTAATATAAATATTCCTGAACCCCTGGGTTTGACTGAGTTACTGTGAACCATAACCATTATTATCCAAAATTTTAATACAATAACTTGTACAGAAACTATGCATACTGAAGTGAGTTAATATTTCTGTATATAAGTCTGCATTAGACAGAGACTAAGTGAAGTACAGTACAGTAGTAATAAATATATAATGAATGTAAATAGAAGTTAATATTAATAACTTCAACTCTACACTGCTAAAATTGATGTATAATGTAGATGATTCAGTTTTTTTTTTTTTTTGAAGTATGAAACTTTACATTTTTTAATCTTGACTTCAAAAATATTTCCTTTTACTACAAAATATGAACATCTTTCATTGTTTTGATATGGCTGCTGGACAGACCCAGTGTGCTATACACTGTGAGTGACACATAAATAAAGTCTGCTGATCAACCTAAACTGCTCCTCTATATACGTTTTCATTATATTTTTCCACACACTGTACAATATACAGTACAGTATATTTTAATGAAAATTGTAGATAAATAGTAAGAAAAAAGATATTTAGAAAAAGTTAAATTGAAAGGCTTATGGAAGGGCAGGAGAGGAAGAGTTTTGCATTAAGGGGTCGTAGGTCTTCCACACAGTTACAGTATGATAAATGAGACACCAGGGCAACATTTGGGTATCTTTATTCTGGGAATGTTTTGCCACACAGCGGCTTCTTCAGTCCGGTACAGAGAAAAGTGGAAACTGAGGAAGAGTTTGAAGTCATCAGTTGCTCAGCCTCTTGAGTTGATGTGTTCGGTCCATCAACTCCTCCTCGTCTTCCAGGTTTTTCTGTGCTGGACTGAAGAAGTCGCTGTTTGGCAAAACTTTTCCTGAATAAAGATACCCAGATGTTGCACTGGTCTCTCATTTATCAACTTGTTGGTTTTGTAAACCATTTATTCACTCAGTTATGATATACCTTTAACAAGTGCAGCAGAAGAAAACGGCACCACAAGCTGAAAACCAGTCATAGAATTTTCACAGAAATCTGCTTAATTAAAGTTCTCAGACCCAAAACTTTTTCTTTTTTTTTTTTTACATTGAACTTGTTTAATAATGTCAATATTAATTGATGCATTTATTGATTTATTTTAAGAAATACAGGTTCACAATAGTTTGCTTTGCAAATTCTTAGTGAATATTTCCATAATAATGGCTGGTTGATATTGTACTAGTATCGTCCATTGTGTTATATTTATTTTTCATATGAAATTCTAAATCCATGTGAGTCCTGAGCACAGGAGTGGCAGAGGCTCAGTCTTCCCCATTGATCATGAGACAGAAACTTTATTTTTGCTCTTGTAATTAGTCCTTTGAAATATTTCACCTGTAATTTAAACAAAGACATCTTACTTAGCTGAAACTGATTGTTTCTGCCACTCTTCAACAACTGCAGCTTTGTCTGATTGTTTCAGCCAGTCCTCTGCCAAAATTCTTTATAACAGTACAGTAATAGTATTGTACAGCACTGCCAAACTGATGTGTTTTGAGGATTTTAGGCAGAATATCTGTTCAGACTTCAAAAGGAACTTCCAGCAGATAAATGCACAAGACACTGAGCCCAGTGTTCATATTAATAATCTACTTTGACATCTAGAAAGGTTAATGTAGGATACATTATGAGTTTAGCAATCGCCTGTCGTGTTTACTGATTGGTCGACAAACCAGAATGTTTTCATTGGGTTGGTGCTGCATAATCTCAAGGCTATATAACTGTACAAGTGATTGTCAGAAAAAACTTTTCAAAGATGCCAACACTTTTCACCTGTACACAAGTACTGATCCTCAAAATAAGGATCAAAATAAGCTCTTAGTTCATTTATAAAGAGATGTTTCTCTGTGCCATATCACCATTGTGCTCCAGTCTTGTCATGAGTCTGAGTAGAATTCACAGAGGTGTGATCCCAATTCTCATATTGGCATAACTTAACCATTGAAGGCTCTCCTTGGTACTGTGTACCTGCTGCAGTGTGTGCAGGTTCCAGTCCAATTCTGGATTGAGAGAGAAGGTTTGTAAATAATTTCAGTCGGTTGTGAATTTTTAAGCATTCTAAAATCACGAGATCAGTGCATGTGGCAGGATGAGATGAAATGACAGTGTCCAGCAAAGATGTATGCCATAGGCACCAACCCATGAAAATAACATTATATCATGCAATATCACTGGCTTCCAGTTATTTAAAGGTTAAGTGCATAAGTGAATGGAAGGTTTGAAGTGAGTCAAGGCAGCTTGGGTCTGTTGCAGCCCTGTTGACTTAGGGTTGGTACCAGGAGTTTCCCAGTAGGATTTACACCCTATGTTTGGGTTGCCAGTGGCAATTAGTTGATGGGCAGCCTAAACACTGGTCAGTGTGAGAAACAAGGCTTGTAGCACCATTCAGGATGTTTTTGTGTCTTATTATGACCATAAAGTTTCAGTAATGATATTCACCAACACATCTTGGAGAACTTGGCATAATATCTTAATTAAGTTTGGTCATGAATTGAGAAAGCATGATCCTAAGACTGGTATGAGTAAAGGTTTTGGTAGACCAAGTGCTAAATCATGATGGCACTTGTCTACTCATTATAGTTCTGATGGGGTGAATTTTACTGGTTACTCTGATGTTATTCTGAATTTATTAAATATATTTTTTCAACGTAAGGAATTCCTCAATTTTAGAGCCTTCGCCAAGGTCAGGGGTGACTGGGAGAACCAGTGTGCGGACAGCAGGGATCAACAGCACAGGCCAGTACTCTAGGAGATCCTCAGAAGACTCCACAACGATGAGTCTTTACCAGCTAACGTTAGGGAGATGAGAGTAAGTGATCTTTATTTTGAGTAAAGATAGTACCATGGACATGTCATATATAATAACAAATCATGTATAATATTAACAGTTACACCAGAGTGACCTCATGATATACTATACTACATTACAATATATCTTTGAAAATAAATAATGAAATTGTAATTTTGCATGTGTATTGCACCTTTTCTAAAGAAAATTTACGTGTATCACATTGTTGGCTAAATTAATAAATGAATTTAGTTAGATTTAAGTAATTTTAAATGTAAAAGCATTTAAGAATATGAGTGTTGTTGTTTGCTATTGTTGTTATATTATCTTGAATGAATGTATGCACATAGTACAGAATGAAGGCTGTGTTGTGTGTGGTTCCTCGAGGGACTCTCTTACTACCTAACATCACCAGTTAACCACCTTCATACAAGCTTATTATACACACTGTCTGCTACATTAACCTCTTACGTATTGTTGCTTTCTAGTAATTAACATCACACCTGTAAAATTACTTCATTATATAATTCACAGGTGGGCCTCATTTATACAGTAGGTTAGGTTCTGGGCTCCTGCTATAAAGTCAGATGTAGCCTTTTCCACGTTCCTGTCATGTATTAAGTGGGCAATAGAATTAGGTCTACAAAATGCACATACAGTACACACATAACTTACCTTAAAATATTTTTGTCCTTAGCTTATAGTGAGTGGTGAATATATTTATTGTAGGAAGTCTGAATAAATGAAGAATGGGCATAATTGAAAACCACTGTACAGTGGCCCCCCCCCCTCCCCCAGTTTACGATATTATTTCATTCCATAAGTATATTCAGGTGCCAGTACTGAACGAATTTGTTCCCATAAGGAATATTGTGAAGTAGATTAGTCCATTTCAGACCCCCAAACATACACGTACAAACGCACTAACATAAATACACTTACATAATTGGTTGCATTGGGAGGTGATCGTAAAGTGGGGGTCCACTGTATTAGTGAAGGCTGTAAAATGAAACATTGTAAAGCAGGGTTCACCTGTTCTATTTATTTCCAGATTGGTCTTTAGTTCTTACAAATTACAATAAAGAATTAACTTAATATGAATACATTTTCAGTTTGCATAGACTAAAAATAATCATATTTTTTTGAGTACAAATTGGAAGGAGATATATTTTTGTCACATTTTGTCATTTATTTTTATATGACATGAAATTCATCTTTCAGGCAGAATTGAAAGAGCTTGATGAGAAGTTCCGCAAGGCCATGATTACCAATGCTCAACTTGATAATGAAAAAGCAACACTAACTTATGAAGTTGAATTAATGAAGGACAAGTATACTGAACTAGAGGAGACACACACACAGTTAACGGTAAGCTGTGCAAATGTTCAAAATATGGCAGCTAGGGTTTTATTAACTTATCCATCGGTTTTCATGTGTAATGCTTTAGGATTTAGGTAGAACTATGTTGAAAAATAATTTTTTTAACAATAGTAACGTTGAACAGTAAGTGACAATAACATTTCTGGATCATTTCACAACTAACCCACAAATTAGAGATAAAATTGTAGACGTTGTTTGAATCTGTCCTGATCATTCTCAAGTCATGTATTACGTTTATTTCTTATTTGTAGACTGGTTGTAAATATGGTTCTAGTTATTAAATGGATAGTTTCCTTGGAGAAAATTAGAAGTTGTGACAGAGAGTGATGCTTATTGATAATAGTACCGTGGTAAAATATAATTTAAATGGAATATTGTTCTGTGCTCAGCTTCTTTCAAGGCAGGAGAGATATCTAAGCTGCAAAATATATATGGAAAATACTTGAGGATCAGGTCCCCAGTTTGAACACTATCATAACAATGTACTAGAGTGAGAGATACAAAAGGAAGTGTGTAATAAACTCAGTGAAAACCATGGGTGCCATAGGCACATTTAGAACACCATGTTAACATCTGTGGTGCAAGACTATTCAACCAGTTATAACAATGTATAAGAAATATTGCTAGGAGAAAGAAGCTTTCAGGAGGAAACTGAACCACTATCTGCTGTAATGTTTGATAAACTAGGTTGTGAGGGCTACGTTGGCATATCACAGTAAAATTAGCCTGGTTGACCAGTTAGTTAACCCTTTCAGGGTCCACAGGCCCTCTCAAGAGACTTGTTCTCAGGGTCCCCCAAATTTAAAAAAAAAAAAATATTTTTTTCTTATGAAAGGATAGAGAATCTTGTCCCAATCATAATGACACCAAAAGTATGAAATTTGATGGAAAACTTACGGAATTATGCTCTTGCGAAGTTAACAGTCTCGACGATGTTTACGCATCAGCGATTTTGCTCACATTGAGCTCTATTTTCAGCCAATTCCAGTGTACTAGTCGACAAAACTCATACCTATTTCGCTAGAACTCGATTTCTTCTATCGAATGAATACAAGAAACCACCCATTTACCGGTTTCAACTATCCAATACAGTGGTCAGAATTTAGCAATTTTGCCAGTTTCACACAAATTTCAAAAGATGCTAATTTCCAAATAGAGTCCAGAATAAACAAGAAAGACATTCCTGGCACTAAAATAACATTTCCTCTGTTCATTAGTCATGTCCCCATGCCCCTCTTACATTCTTTTGCTTTCCATTTTGAATTTTCATTCTCACATAAAATAGAAGATTTACTGTTATGCAGACTACTGCATTAGTGTAGAAATGGTATAAATAATATTGGCGCACTTGTGAAAGAATATTAGACTCGCCAGTTGACGTGTATTGGACGCTTAGTATGATTTGTTTACTTTTGAACTTTGGTAAAAATCGAACATTTCTGCTACATTGAGCTCAATTTCAAGGTACTTTTCATTGTAAAACCAGTCAAAATCATCTCAATTTCTGTAATATGTCTTCCATTCTATCAAATGAGACCAGGAAAACTAGAATACAACAATAAATACCATACGAAAATACAGTGCAAAGTCGCTGTTTTAATCCAAAAACACGGTCTAAGTTTTTTTTTCTCATTACGCACTGTGTGCTGCAGGATTTTTTTTATACTGTGCACACTGACCACATAGACCCATTCTTTCATATGTAGGCCTTCCAGCTTTCACTAGATTTGAAGGCGCTAGAATTTATGAGTACTAGTACGTCAAGGACCCTGGCACGTAAGCCGTACTAGTACGGCCAAAACCTTGAAAGGGTTAATAGGATTGCATGACTTGAGGCCTAACTAGACTGCAAGGGTAGAAGAGCCCTCACAGTGGTCACAGATATATTACAGGTAAGGCAGCAGAGTTGGAGGTATTTGAGGCTCTTGGTGAATAAAAATTTGTTTAGTGTGCAAGAGGTTTGTATGAAGGAGAATTGATCAGCTTGTGTTATTGAGCCACATGCTGCCTTAGATATTGACTAGTACAAACATAAGAGTCATACATAGGAATATTTTACAAATGCAGCATATTAGGAGAATAAAATACATTTCATAGTAAACATGTTAGAAACTCGTGTGGTATGAAACAATAGAAACAGAAGCCTGTTAAATATTTGCCTCTGGCAGAATTACTGGTCTTTTCTTGTCTTATATAAGATAACAGGTAAATCTTTGAAGCTTCTATCTATATTGAATATCAGTATTCTTACCTAAACTTTTTTCTGTCTTAATAGAAATTCTTCCTGTAAAATTATCATTACAATCTAGGTCTAGTCTGAGATTAGGACAGAGGGAAGATGATTCTCAAAGCTGGTAATGGATAACAGCCATGTAGATGAATTGAACAGTCTATTCAGCTTGAGGGGCAGATCACAGAAAAGATGGGCAGAAGTGATGAATGTGAGTTATTGAAAAAGGATCATAACTGAAGGTATTATCAGAATAATGATCATGCTTGCATTGTATGTAAGCAGTTTATAGAAGTGAAAGTGGAGGAATTAAATGAATCTCTTGTCAATTTTACAGAAGGAACATCGTAAGAAATGTACCGAATATGAACAACTTAGGAAAGTATCAACAAAATTACAAGAAGAAGTGAAAGCCCTTCGTAGTTTGTTACAAGAACGGGATCAGTTGATACAGGTAACTTTAAAACATTTACTTTGTACAAAAATACAGTTGTTACACAAATAACCCGCACATAAAAGAGAGAAGCTTATGATGACGTTTCGGTCCGACTTGGACCATTTACAAAGTCACACTAACCAGAAGTGGAGCAGGACGGAAACGTCGTCGTAAGCTTCTCTCTTTTATGTGCGGGTTATTTGTGTATCGTTCCAGTCACGGTATTGTGCCTTTTTTGTTATTAATACAGTTGTTATTTGCAGCAGAATACAGCATGTTCAAAATTCATTGAACAGAAAAGAAGAGGTTTTGTAGTGGGTTGCTAATCAGTATACCATAGTTATTGTACAGTGGTGGCCAGTTTTCTACTCAATGTTTGGAAAAACTAAGTCCACTCAGTTCACCATACTGTAGTTAAAAGTTAATATAATTTTAAGTCATATTGGAAAATGACCAAAGATCCCAAGAGGGAGGTTGATCATGAGCAGAATTTCTAATTCCTTTCGTATCTTTTCAGGAGTATGGCTTGGTTGTGGTAGGAGAAGATGAGGAGAATGGTGAGGAGGTAGAATCTGAAAAGGAAGATGTTGACGATTTATCACCTAGAAAAATTTTTGTTAAGAAAGCCTTAATTTCACAAGAAGCGGCGGAATTATTGGCAAAGGGCGCTGCTAAAGGCTCACTAGGTTAGTCCACAACGCTGTACAAATGATCTTATAACAAGCAGATGTAAAGTCTGAGGACTGTAGTAAAATGAATTATTTTAAATTTCCATTATCTTTGGGATACATATATGGAGTGTATCAGTCTGTAGTGGAAGGAAGGCGGGGTAGGGGTCGGCCTAGGAAAGGTTGGAGGGAGGGGGTAAAGGAGGTTTTTGTGTGCGAGGGGCTTGGACTTCCAGCAGGCATGCGTGAGTGTGTTTGATAGAAGTGAATGGAGACAAATGGTTTTTAATACTTGACGTGCTGTTGGAGTGTGAGCAAAGTAACATTTATGAAGGGGTTCAGGGAAACCAGCAGGCCAGACTTGAGTCCTGGAGATAGGAAGTACAGTGTCTGCACTCTGAAGGAGGGGTGTTAATGTTGCAGTTTAAAAACTGTAGTGTAAAGCACCCTTCTGGCAAGACAGTGATGGAGTGAATGATGGTGAAAGTTTTTCTTTTTCGGGCCACCCTGCCTTGGTGGGAATCGGCCAGTGTGATAATAAAAAAAAAAAAATAACGTATATGGAGTTTTGTCATGAACTCTTTGTATTAGAAGGTTTTCATTGTAATAAACTCCATTGCACCTCAACCGGAATGTTAGAGTATAACTAAAGATAAAGTTGCTGTTTGTCTTACCATTTATGTCTAGTAGATTATAGTATTATCATACTCATTTCTCAAGAGCATACGAATTTAAAGTAACTCACTCTCTCTCTCTTCTTTACAGATGTAAGGTTAAAGAAGTTTGGTGAAGAAAAAAACGATTTAGAAGATCAAGTTAGAAGGTTGAAATTAGAGCTTGAAGAAGAGCAAAACAAGAATAGAAGAAGAGAAAACGGTTTAGACTATGAAAAACAAAGTAGAGTAAATCTGTCGTTGCTGTTATTGCATGTGGAAGTGTCTATATGCTTGGTGTTGTTGCAAGTTCCCATGTCTTGTTATTAATGTTTACACAATCCAGTATTTCATTCAAATTTTAACATTTTTTCAGAGGAACAAAGCAAAACTGTAAACGAATATAAGTTTAGAGTACAGAAGGCAGAAGCGGAAGTATCAACATTACAGGCCAATGTGAGTACAATGCAGTGCAGTCATTTTTTTTTTATTTTTTATCCATTATGATTTTAATTTATTATTATTTTATTTATTTACATTCATATTTGTAGTAATTTTTGTAGACATACTTCTATCCCAGGATATTGGAGAAGGTGACTCATCAGATGATTTGCATAGCTGGAGAGCAGTTATGTTGTCTACTGTCTTAAAGGTACAAGTGATTTCACAAAATACAATTATTGATCAGTATGGTAGAAAAATATTGAAAAATTTTGAGGTACAGTCGGTTAATATATGAGGAAGTACAGACATACCTTGTTGAAGAGGTTTTTTGAACTTTGAGGAGAAAACCCAATACTGGGGAAGGGAAATATTCAGCCCTAAATTTCAAAGAAATGCATTTAATTACCTAGACTTTGTTTCTGGTGGAATATAGAGAAGTACAGTACCAATGCTCTCTATATGCTGTAAATCATGTATTTTTTGCAGCTTTGGGTTTATTTTGTATTGAGGCTGTATCTCTTTCAGTAGTAATATTTATTGTTAATAATGACAGTCATGACATAGAGTATACATAAGGAGGATGAAAGGAACAAAAAGGGTGAAGATGGTGAACAAAAGAGTAGTGAGGATGGTAAATATGACATTAGTGAGGATGGTGAATATAACAAGTTAAGGACAGTGAATATGGAAAAATAAGGATGGTAAATACAGCAATATTGATGATGACAATGCCTATGAAATAAAGGTGAGTATGGTGAATATATTGTGGGTGAAGAGGATGAAGGGAACAAGGTTGACAGTAAAGGGAACAAAATGGGTAAGGATAGTAAAGTTGAGAGAGCAAAGGGACCATCAGAGGCATGTGATGGTGAGTAATGAAGTTTGTCACTGTGTTGAGAGTCAATCATAGTGCCTCCTATGTGACCTTACCAGCCTGGACTCACCCACTAACCCACCTGATTGACCACCTCGTAGAACCCACCTGCCATTACTACCATATTCCAGCTAAACATAAACAATTGTACTTAAAAATTTAGTAAATGTAATGTGAAATTTAATTACATTATGTGCTGTATTATGTTTTGACTTTGATTTTATTTTTAGAGATGTGATTATTCATTTGTTCTTTTATTCATTAGCTAATTATATAATGAATGCATTAAACTGTAGTTGTAAGTTAATTTTAGTGCTTCTAATAAGGTTTTTCTTTTATTTTCTAACAAATGTACAACTCCTTTTTCTTAAGTTAGGTTTGTCTTTTTCTCAAAACACACCAGTGAGTTTCAGAACTGTAAGAAAAGTGATTGACTTCATAATTAAAGCTCTTCTAATGAAGTGTGTCATGAGGAATAAAAGTCATGGTACCATGACTGCAACAAAGTATGCTACAAAAAATAAAAGTCATTGTACCATGGCTACAGCAGTTTACAACCAACCCACCAGTTAGAACTAATGATAGACAGCATTTTAACCACTCTGAATTATTAAGTTGCTCCTTGAAGAGAGTTCAGGATAAACAAAATCGTGCAATTTCATCTACAATATATGGGTTACCAGGCAGATGTGAATTGAGAAGAAATGTTGTTAGACTGGAATAGTTCTGTATAATAAGATTTAATACTGGAAACAGTGTTGACCTAAAAGTGAGCTTCCTGTATTATGACCCAAATATCATGACCTATATCTAGAAAACAGTGAAGAGAATGCTTCAAGACCTATATGCTGAAAAATTCTTTATAATAATAGTTTGGGATTTGGTTGTTCTTGAGCATCTGTTGTTTCAAGAAATATACAAGTGCTTGTACATCAAGACTTAAATGAAATAAAAATAGTGAAGAAGAAATATTAAATTTATATTCAAGAGTGACTGTATGATCATAAGTTCTAGAAAAGTTATGTGCTCTCAGCTTAGGCATTAAAGCATTGACTGGCAGCCTGTTAAACAACCTTGCAGCTACATGAATACATTCTGCCAAGAAAGAGCACAAGGCTCAGTCAGTATTAGAGTCTGCAGCAGTGTGTAGAAACATTCCCAAGCCCAGTGTAACAGGGACAAGCATATCAGCAAGATTAAACTTAATAGCTTTAAATGTTAATATGAAGAGTTTAAATTGAATTCTTGTCTTGATAGGGAGACAGTGCAACTCATACAAGTAGTGACTAGTGGGAACCCTAATTAGGAGCGAAAATACCAGCACAGTTCATTACAAACTGAATTTTTTTTGTAGCATGTAGTTAGGGAAATCCACCAACAAACAGTTGCAAAATTCAAGTCAAGAGGAAACAGACACATGGACAAGAACCTTGATACTCTTCTGATCAACATATTTTCTGACTGCATAGACATTGCAAATATGAAAATTGCAAGATTTAACAGTTTGGCAAAAAATTTTTTTTTTAACATACTAGCTGTCTCCCACCAAGGTAGGGTGACTGAAAAAAGAAACACTTTCACCATCATTCACACTATCACTGGTAGATGTTTCCAACAAATGACAATAAAGAAACCAGGTTGACATCCAGATCCCTCACTAATCCCACAGACTGCAAACTGACAGTATTACAATCTAAGGCACCAGAATCTCCAATCTGTACTCCACTGAGATTTCCTCTGGCAGTGGAAGTCTGTCTTACTATAAATTAGTTTTAATTCATAACTGGGCAGTAGAGGAATCCCACCAAGGGGGCAAGACCACAAATGAAGATCTTTTTAGTGATCAAAGGACAGAACTTGTATGAGTCACAGCCACAAGCACTTCATCATGAATCTTTGCTAACTGGTCAACAGACAGTTCAAACAAGACAGGTCTCGCCATCACACTGATCTTGTCCAGAGTAAGGTTTCTTTAATTACAGAAAGACAGATGCGTTCACAAGAAGGCGGCATCAAAATATCAAAACAGAAAGTAACAATACTGTGATCGGCCACAATAATGCTCTTTGAATTGGCAGTAGATAGAACCGAGTCCAACATTTTTTTTTTTTTTTTAACAAGTCGGTCGTCTCCCACTGAGGCAGGGTGACCCAAATAGAAAGAAAATCCCCAAAAAGAAAATACTTTCATCATTATTCAACACTTTCACCTCACTCACACATAATCACTGTTTTTGCAGAGGTTCTCAGAACACAACAGCTTAGAAGCATATACTTATAAAGATACACAACATATCCCTCTAAACTGCCAATATCCTGAACCCCTCCTTTAGAGTGCAGGCATTGTACTTCCCATTTCCAGGACTCAAGTCCGGCTATATAAAAATAACCGGTTTCCCTGAATCCCTTCACTAAATATTACCCTGCTCACACTCCAACAGATCATCAGGTCCCGAATACCATTTGTCTCCATTCACTCCTATCGAACATGGTCACGCACGCCTGCTGGAAGTCCAAGCCCCTCGCCCACGAAAAACCTCCCTTACCCCTTCCTTCCAACCTTTTCGATAACACATTTTTCTGAAAATTATTCAGTTCTATTAGCTCCAGGAACTCTTATGAATAAGGCTTCTGTTGTAGACACGTAAATCAGTAGTTATTCACCACACACATGAAGGTGACCACTTTTCTTTGCAAAGGATTTAATAAGAAAGCCAAATTTATCAAGAAATGAGGAATCTGTGCCATCAGTGCCAGGACAAAGCATAGCCATCAGTTTCACAGCCTGCTGATGACAATTTGCTACTGTCTTCATTACCTCAAATGACACCACAGGCTCACCAAATGGTATATGATGACAAGTTGACAGAACAAATGACTGCAAGCCCACTACCATGAGCTGCAAGTGACTGTGGAATGTAGTAAAATAAAAAGGACCTGCAGAGAACAGTTGCTATACCAGATTTCACAGTAATGTTTATATCAGACATAAGATGAGAAAGTTTTGTAGAATGGAATAAAGAGCTTCAAAACAGCTGTAAACATCAAGGTTTTTTAATGCCTTCTCTTTAACCATAAGGGAAACCCTTAACTATTCTTAAGGGAAGCTGACAAGTTCCTTGAAATATACTATGTATAATCATCTAGACAGTGGTGTCTATATTTGGTTTCTCTCTGGAAGTACCAGTAGCATTGTTTATTAGGTAGTAAACTAGTAGTGGTACAGGTTAATGACAATACACTCAAAATTTTTTTATGCTAATATTTACTGTGTGGCTTATTGCAGGTGGCCCGGCTGGATGCTCTGTCCACACGTTATAAGATCCAGTCGGAAGAACTTGAAAAAAGTGAAGAAGAGCTTAAGCTAGAGAAAAGGAAATTGCAAAGAGAGGTAAGCATCCATTATGGTGAAGTTATTGAATTCCATAAATATTGTTTCATATTGGTTACATTTTAGCTTAGTCTTAATTAAGAACAAGACCAGATATGATCATGACATACAAAATTCTCTGAGGCATAGGCAGAGTAGACAAAAATAGTCTCTGTAACAAGAATATAACAAGAATAGGATTGGGTTGAAAATACACACTTAAAATAACCATAGACGTATATGAAAACCCTTATTCAATATGATCACTGAAGAAATGAACTGAACAATGATAGTGGCAGTGAACTTTGAACAAAGGTCCAAAAAATAGATGACTGAGTATTTTGTATGTCACCCAAAAGTTAAGATGAGACCATGAGCTAGAGCTGTGCTTTCCCTCCCACACATTTGCACAAACTCAAGTAGGTAATTATACAGACTGATCCCTGAATTAAGGAAAATGAGCTATATACCTGTATGCATGAGACTAGCTTCAAGTTGTTCTACCTTCGCAAGTATTGTTGTTGACAGTACAACCAAGCTGTGTAAAGAAAGAACACAAGTGCTAGGGCTTCTCTAAATGAAAGAATGATGAATGAGAGGGATTTCATAATTGCTGTAATATTTTTTTTTTCAAAGCACCAGCTGTATGCCATCAAGGCAGGATTACCTAAAAGAAAAACTCCCAGCATTTTAGTCATCTCTCATGACATACATGGCTTACAGAGGAAGGATTCTTCTCCACTTCCCCATGGAGAACTACTGTATGTGCAGGTCTCCCTCAGCATTTGCATTTTCAACTTTTGTGGATTTCACACATTCACGAATTCCCAGCCGCAAAATCATATTTAAGTTTCCCACTACCTGTGCGTCCCTACTACCCTCCCTCCAACCCCTGCAACAGGCAGCCAGCTCTCCCGCCACTCACTCAAGTCATTCTCCAGCCAGTGATGCTGGTAGTGAAGACTTAGAATCCACACACTAGATTCATCATGCCATGCGGTTACACTCCATATATTCATGACTACATATTAGAATGGCCATTCGGACAGGTATTGGACGGTGACATCATTTGTTTACTCTTGAACACGACCAAGAATCGAATATTTCTGCTGCTTCTACTGCTAATAATAATAATAATTGGATATTGCCTAGGTAGTAGGTTGGTAGACAGCAACCACCTAGGGAGGTACTACCATCCTGCCAAGCGAGTGTAAAATGAAAGTCTGTAATTGTTTTACATGATGGTAGGATTGCTGGTGTCCTTTTTTCTGTCTCATAAATGTGCAAGATTTCAGGTACGACTTGCTACTTCTACTTACACTTAGGTCACACTACACATACATGTTTTTTTTTTTTTTTTTTTAACAAGTCGGCCGTCTCCCACCGAGGCAGGGTGACCCAAAAAAGAAAGAAAATCCCCAAAAAGAAAATACTTTCATCATCATTCAACACTTTCACTACACTCACACATTATCACTGTTTTTGCAGAGGTGCTCAGAATACAACAGTTTAGAAGCATATACATATAAAGATACACAATATATCCCTCCAAACTGCCAATATCCCAAACCCCTCCTTTAGAGTGCAGTCATTGTACTTCCCATTTCCAGGACTCAAGTCCGACTATATGAAAATAACCGGTTTCCCTGAATCCCTTCACTAAATATTACCCTGCTCACACTCCAACAGATCGTCAGGTCCCAAGTACCATTCGTCTCCATTCACTCCTATCTAACACGCTCACGCACGCTTGCTGGAAGTCCAAGCCCTTTGCCCACAAAACCTCCTTTACCCCCTCTCTCCAACCCTTTCGAGGACGACCCCTATCCCGCCTTCCTTTCCCTATAGATTTATATGCTTTCCATGTCATTCTACTTTGATCCATTCTCTAAATGACCAAACCACCTCAAGAACCCTTCTTCTGCCCTCTGACTAATACTTTTATTAACTCCACACCTTTTCCTAATTTCCACACTCTGAAATTTCTGCATAATATTTACACCACACATTGCCTTTAGACAGGACATCTCCACTGCCTCCAACCGTCTCCTCGCTGCTACATTTACCACCCAAGCTTCACACCCATATAAGAGTGTTGGTACTACTATACTTTCATACATTCCCTTCTTTGCCTCCATAGATAACGTTTTTTGACTCCACATATACCTCAATGCACCACTCACCTTTTTTCCCTCATCAATTCTATGATTAACCTCATCCTTCATAAATCCATCCGCCGACACGTCAACTCCCAAATATCTGAAAACATTCACTTCTTCCATACTCCTCCTCCCCAATTTGATATCCAATTTTTCTTTATCTAAATCATTTGACACCCTCATCACCTTACTCTTTTCTATGTTCACTTTCAACTTTCTACCTTTACACACATTTACATTTACACACATGTACAAGCATGTATATACACACACCCCTCTGGGTTTTCTGCTATTTTCTTTCTAGTTCTTGTTCTTGCTTATTTCCTCTTATCTCCATGGGGAAGTGGAACAACAGAATTCTTTCTCCGTAAGCCATACGTGTTGTAAGAGGTGACTAAAATGCCGGGAGCAAGGGGCTAGTAACCTCTTCTCCTGTATAAATTACTAAATTTAAAAAGAAAAACTTTCATTTTTCTTTTTGGACCATCCTGCCTTGGTAAGATATGGCCGGTTTGTTGAAAGAAAAAGATGATAAAATTGAAGAAGGAAATTGTATAAAAATACGAGGGTTGAAGTAGTGGTGAAGGAAGTTGTTGAGGCATCATGAGTCAGTGTGGCTTTGTTTATGCTGGAGTGAACATTAGCCTCTGCGCTCTTCCAAACATTTCACAATAATTCATTGTGTTTGGTGCTTGTAGATTGAGTGCAACTGCTACATAATTAACCATGGGCCCAAAGAAACTTTTAGTGCTAGCCCTTTGGTAAAGAAATTGAGAAACACGATAGAATTGAAGGAAGAAATTATACAAAAATATGAGGCAGTGGTTGAGGCAGTACAATATTTTACGATGTTTTCATGTACGTATTTTATGAGTGTTCGTAAGAACATAAGAAAGGAGGAACACTGCAATAGGCCTGTTGGCCCATACTAGGCAGGTTCTTCACAAATCCACCCCACTAACAATAAACACTACCCAAGCAATAAGCTTTGATAATTTTATTTACTCACGTGCAAGTCCCACTCAAATCCAACCCCTCTCACTCGTGTATTTATCCAACCTAAATTTGAAACTACTCAAGGTTTTAGCTTTGATAGGACCTTGGGTAGCTTTGAAAAGAGATTGGACAAATATATGAGTGGGAAGAGCTTGTATGTATATACATATATGTGTTTTACGATGTTTTCATGTGTTTTATGATTGTTCATGGTTCAGTAGGTTAACCCTTTCAGGGTCCATGCCGTAGTTCTACGGCTTTGAGTTGAAGGTCCAAACCTTAGATCTACGCCATGAGCTCAGCTCACTCTGATAAGCTGTGAGTGGTAAATTTGGGCCTAGATATGAGAGAATACATCTATGTGTTATGTGTGCACCACATAAAACAAATCCTGCAGCACACAGTGCATAATGGGAGAAAAAAACTGAGACCATAATTTTTTATTAAAACAGCGACTTTGCAGCATTTTTTCGCATGTTTTTTATAGTTGTATTTGAGATTTCTTGGTCTCACTTGATAGAATGGAAGATATATTACAGAAATAGAGATGATTTTGATTGGTTTTAGCATGGGAAATGGCTTGAAACTGAGCTCAAAGTAGCGGAAATGTTAAATTTTTGCCAATGTTCAAGAATAAACAAATGACCTCACATGTCTAATACACGCCAGCTGGTGGGTCTAATATATTTTTACAAATGTGGTGATGTTATTTATACAATTATTACAATATTGCATAACAATAAATCTTCTATTTTTTGGCTTGAATAAAAATTCATTATGTGAATAAAAAATAAAATGGAATTCATTTGTAAAGCCTGAAAACGTATTAATGAACAGAGGAAATGTTAGTTTAGTGCCAGGAATGCCTGCATTGTTTATTCTGGACCCTGTTTTTCAATTGGAATATTTTGAACTTTGGATTAAATTGGCCAAATTACCAATTTCGAATCACTTTCTTTTGTAGTTACAACAGTTGACTGGGCGATTTCTTGTGCTCAGTTCATAGAGTAGAAGTAATACTAGTGAAGTAGCTAAGAATTTGGTCAACTGGAATAATATAATTGGCCTAAAATGGAAATCAAAGTCGGCAAAATCGCTGATGCGTAAATATCCCTGACACATCAAAATTCACGAGAGCATAATTTCGTCACTTTTCCATCAAATTTTGTACTTTTTTTTATTACCTTCAGAAAAATATTCTCTACCATTTCATAAGAAAAAATAACAAAAATTTTTTTTTGAAAATTCTTGGACCTTGGTGCACACTTTGCAATTTGGCCTCTGGACTCTGAAAGGGTTAAGGAAGCAGTATTTTATTATATTTCCCTACAATATATTGGGGCACCAAACATTCACGATTTTTCAACATTCGCAAGGCTCTTGATCTCCTAACCTTTGCAAATGGTAAAGGAGACCTGTACACACAAAAATATTAAATGAAAAATTTCAAAACTCATTCAGATCAGGAGTAAATTTTATGTAAGATTAATCCAATAAAGCTGATGATTTATTAGAAGGTATCATTGAAACGGCTTGGTAGCTTTTAAAAATCAGTGGAACGATGAACAACTTTTGAATGGAAGTAAACAGTATCTAGTTTACATTATGATTGCACATTTTCACTCATTTGGTTTAGATTTTATTTTTCTTCATAATTCTCAAGTGTTCATATTGCAGTTTGTTACCACAGTTTTGTCATTCACTAATAATTATGTGAATACTGTTCAGCATATCTTACTCAGGTTTTTCTTTTACAGTTAAGAGAAGCCCAAAGTAGATTAGAAGAAGTGGAAACCACTAATAACCATCTTATAAAAAGGTTTGACAAGTTAAAAAATGCAAGATCTACTTTGCTTAAGGATTTATCTCAAGATCCAGCGTGAGGTGATGGCCTGGGTGGTGGTCTACCCCTCTGGAATGTTTCCCGCTGCCAATATTCAACTTGTAAGCCACAATATATGGTCAGGGAGTTGATGTAACGGGTCCATTGTGTAACGTTTTGTGATATGCAAAATGTGGAAGTGTAGCCAGTTTAACAAGCAGCAACTCAAGTATTACTCAGTAAACTCATAATAGAGCAACACGTCAAGTGGAGTTTCACATATTTAGTGATGCTAAATGACCTTTGACTATGGCAAGCTAGTATGTGAAGGACATGACTTACAATATGGTGACTCCCTATGTTGAATAATGGCATTATTACAAGTTGAAGGCTTGCTGAACATCCCACAACTACTACTACTTAACCACCTCATTCACTGTGATGGTTTTATTACTGAATGTTTCTCATTAGCCCATTTAGCGAACGAATGCCTCGGTGCCTCTAGCCTTAACAGCCATTCAAGTTATCATACCTCAGGTGATGCAGCTGCCCTCTCTGCAAATTTTTAAAAGTGGCAACCCATCATCCTAAGCAAACGTCAGTTGTTTCTTCACTGTGACTGTGGCACTAAAGTGCAAACATCTGAGTTTTCCCATTTATGTTTTCTCTCTCTTCTTGGTGGTATTCCATTTTTTGTTTATGCATAAAAAACCTAGTCTTGCCTCTATACTTTATTGCAGTTATTGGAGTTAATGAGTGTTATAATTGGTTAAATTTAGTTAATTGATGGTAACTCAACCTAAATGTAAAGAAATTGGCTTAAGTATATAAATTAGAAAAATTATGGTTGCATTAGGAAGATGGGCTGCATGTGGAGACAGTAAAAAAATGAAACTTTTGCCAAGGTCAAATTCTGATACAAAGTGTATCATGGTTAAAGTGTTCTTGTGAAACTTTCTCAAGGTAGAGCTTTTTGCTAGCAGGATGAAGCCAAAGTTGCTGCTGCTGCCAGCTGCCTCTGCTGCTGTCAGCTAAGCTGCTGCTACTGTATCAGCTGAGCTGAGCTGCATTTGCTCTTAGCTGAACTGTTGCTGATGTTGTCAGCTGAACTTCTGCTGTCAAATTGAACTGCTAAGCTTTAGTTATGAGTGTTGGGCTCTATATTATAGTGGATGCCCCAGCTGATGTGTGATAGGCTGTTCACATTGATGAATTCTCTAGTACTCTCATTCACTGTGGCAAAATTTTGGGTATACCTTAATCTCTCTTGACACCACTTGAGCATCATTAAATATATCTATTTATTTTCAACATTTTATAAGAAGTCACTTTTTCAGGTTCTTCCTTTTCATATGTCTTAGTTTCTGATTTACCTTATTTTTCCAGGACAGCTTTAGGGATGTTTTTATAAATAGAATTATAGGTGTGCTGATTTATGATTTAATATTTTATGTTGTACTTCAATGCACCTTTATAACCCAGTTATCTCTTCAGGCTCCCATTGATAAAATATTTTGTTAGCATAAAGCTAGGGGTTTTATTTTGCAAAAATTTTGGTTATAACTCAGTCATATTATTTTTTTTGTGTGGAGTGTTTTGATACTGTTTGAAAGTGTCTTGAAATATGTGATTATCATAGAATTAGAATTGTGTCGGTATGGTGTAATTTGTGCTCCCTCACGAAATGTACCGGATGATTATTTGTTGTCAAGGTTGTTTAAAAATGGTTATTTATATGCAGGAGGGCCCCGCTTATACAGCAGGTTAGGTTCTGGGTTACTGCTGTAAAGTGAAACGTTGCTGCCGCCTGGGGGGCTTCCCCTTCTTTTTCACTTTCAAATGCATGTAAAAGCCTGATAACATGTTTACAAAATCATGTATTAAGTGAGCAGTAGAGCTTAGGCCTTAAAAATGCGTATACGGTACACACATTACTTACTTTAAAACATTTTCGTCCTTAGCATATAGTGAGCGGCGAAAATATTTATTGTAGAAAGTCTGAATAAATGAAGAATGGATATAATTGAAAACTGCTGCATTAGTGAAATGCTGTAAAGTGAAGCACTGTAAAGCGGGGCCTTCCTGTAATTGTTTAGGAATATTTTCTCTTTTGTTAATGTTTAGTGAGGTGTGTTTAAAGTGAGAGAGCACTGACTGCACCCACGGTAAGTCCTCCCTTTATAAGCACAAACCAACATTTGTTCTTCTGATTTTGTTTTTGCTTTTCTGGCAAGCCCAAGCATTACTTGATAGCAGTACCAAATGTATTTATTTCAAACAATTTTCCCAACGCTGAACAGGAGCACAGTGGACCGTTGTTGCAGTTCCTTCTTTGCTCTTGAGTTTGGCTTGGTCAGCACCTCAGTTAGTCTTCCTGAGGACTTGTGCTACAGCAAAATGCACTATTAAAACATGCAAATAAATCTAATTGTATATATGTTAAATGTTTTCCCTAGGCAGTAAATGGTTATTTCAGATCCTTCTCTATACTGCTTTGTGGTTCATATTTATATAATAAATTTTTATTTATTTTATTACAATTTGTATTACAAATATCTACTTTACTAAAAGAAAAAAGTTCAGTGGGCTTGTTATTGTTTCCTTCATATCTGTTCAGAAATAATAATTATTGATTTTTGTTATTGTCATCTTTATTATTTTTATAAAAAGAATATATTTGTTCTGGTTTGTGAGGTAAGACATGATAATCTCTGCCAATGGTAAAGTGAGAAAACCTGAGCCTGACTTATGTCTCAGAATTAGTGGCTAAACCCAGTTGTGTGAGAGTCTGGTAGCATCATTCTACCAATATGTGAGAAACTGCAAATACATGTAGAGAATATATATCCAATGGTTGTGGTTGGAAACAACTTTACAGGGTCATTGTACTCTAGCCACTTGTTTTTGAAAGTGGTTAAGAGTGCCACACACCAAGCTAATAATTAGTTCCTGCCAGATATAGGACTGCAAAGCTAAAATATGTTTCCAGTTTTTGCAGATCCATTCCTACATGAGTGAGGAGTACAGTGGGTGTGGAGCCTGCATAGTGATAATTTTATACAGAAACAGACAGAATTATCAAATTCATCCTACAAGAGCCTTGGGCAATATAAGTGTTTTGGTATACAGTTTATAGTCGTTGTTCGGATTCTGAATTATCATATTGAAGTCTCGTATAGTGATAGAAGTTTGGAGGTGAATAAATATATTTGGGATGTTTACAGCTTGACTGATATTGTTATTTATTATATTGTGATCACTGTTTTATAGTAAAAATTATATTGCTGTATATATAATTGGATCGTGAGGAGCCACACTGGTTGTAGTATCTTCTAATAATTGAGCAGTTTTGCAGGGTTATGGGCTATCTCAGATTGACTTGTTTATATAATGTGCTCATAACACTTGTTAGATTATAAAAAACTATTTATTGAAACCACATTTGTGATCAAGAAACTATGATACTAAATTGAAGTGATCTGGGGTAAATGAGTTATTACTAGTGGTATGCATCTTCGATATGAGTAAAGCTAGTTTTGTCTTCCAATCTTCATTCCTCAGTGTTTTGTATTTTTTAAATTGCTATGTACTTTAGAATACAATACATTATAGTGTGGAAAAACTTATGGCTGTCTAGGATAGCTATCTCAAGCACGACTCTTAAGAATATTGTGCATGAGCTTTAAAGACAATCGATTAGCTGAAATCTTCAAAACAAAAATATAAAGCTTCTTTAATAGAAGTATCCATAACTAAAGTATGGCTACTTGAAGACATACAGGTTATTTGTTTTTATCAATGTGAATTACATTTTTTAGTTATGGATAGTGACAATCAAGTCAACAATATCCTAGACAGCTAGTCCAGTTGTTAGCATCAAGCTTTTGTGAATTCTCTCAATGCTGTGTACTTAGAGATTTATTCAGGTAAGAGTCTGCAGTATATTTAAAAGTATATGCAGATGAGTTCTGTAACATTGCCTTTTTTTTTTTCCTTGCTCTCATGTGCCATACACTGAATTCCCTAAATCTGATAAAAAGCATGGGTGACATCTAACAAGTGTATAGAGAGTAAGTCAGCAGTGTGGAATGATAGCCACCACTAACATTACTCATGGAAAGCTAGAAGTGCATGTACAGTGTTGCTTTGTTGAAATGAAAATTTATTGCCTATCATAACTACAGCTAGTTTTTTTGCTATATAGAAGTTTCTTATAGCTAAAGATAAAAATTTATGTGCTTCATCGAGTTATTTATTGGTTAGGTGATTTGGTGAAGTCATCCACAGTTGCACGTTTACAGCAGTGTTAACACTTTGTGCCAAAAAAAAATATAATGCAGTAGTTAATTTGAAAATTTTTTATTCTTTTAGATTTCTTGTTACATAAGTCACACACAACTTAAAAAATAGTAGGCAATAGATTAACTAACTTCAGTTGGTCATGGAAGAATATTTTATATGGATGTAGTCGTCAGTAGGAATAACTTCTCCACCTTTGGTCTTTGTCCTTCATTGAAGAATATTTTGTTAACTTAGAAACCCTTCACTCTCTTGTATGATAGTCTTAATTTTTTTTTTTTTTCAACGAACCGGCCGTATCCCACGGAGGCAGGGTGGCCTGAAAAGAAAAACAAGAGTTTTTCTTTTTAAATTTAGTAATTTATACAGGAGAAGGGGTTACTAGCCCCTTGCTCCAGACATTTTAGTTGCCTGTACTACACACATGGCTTACAGAGGAAGAATTCTTTTCCACTTCCCCATGGAGTAGTCTTTGATTATAATTCTATAAAATCTCTTATCATGTCTTGCATTATCTGTCAGTAGTTTAACTCCTGTTCTTGTCCTGCAATTTTCTGTTTGCCAGGAATCTTTATTCAATCTTTATTCCTGTACCATTTTGACTATTTAATGTAGTATAATTTGGGGGCCAATTTGTCTTAATAACTCTGCTAATAATGAATTGTTAAATATATGTATTTTCAGGTATTTATTTTATTTATTATTGTTATTGTTATTTTTCATTTACTATAATTTGACATGGGATTGCTATATCAGTGTGACGGGAAAAGAATTTGAAGAATATACAAAATTTTTAATATAAAAAATATCTTTTTATATATTTCCCACTTAAATACATGTATAGGCATTGATGATACGCATTTAAACTTAGTAATTTATGTCAGAGATTAAATAGAGGAAATACTGATTTCATTGTTAAGTACATTGGGAGATAATTTATGGGTCAGGAGTATAATAATTAGGAGTATAATAATCAGGAGTATAATAATCAGGAGTATAATAATTAGGAGTATAATAATTAGTTTCAGGTGTAGCCAAGAGAGTGAGTGACTCGTCTGTGAGTGTTTTACCGCCAGTAAATATTACCATCAATGCCAAATGGCCTAAGCATTTAAATGCTTTGTGCATTACCTCTGAGACTTGTGCATTTTATGTCTTTATTAGACAAATGTATATGACATGCCATTGTTAATTCAGCTGACTTGTAATAATAATATTGTTTAATGTGTAGGATTGAATCCAGTAATTACCATGAATGGTTTTGTAAACATTGTATTGATCCCTGTATAATATTTCAATGCTTTAAATATATTTTTGTTTTTTTGCAGTCACTGTAAATACCAAACATGATGCACTTCAAGCAATATTTTTTTTAAAACACTTGTAGTAATAGGGAGGGGGATTATTTTGTATTTGATGTTGTACATATACAGTTGCCCTGTTATATAATTAAAAGCAATCATATATACATTATGTGTGTGTGTGTGTATGCACGCATGTGTGCGTGCATGTGCTCATACATATACACATATATAATGTATGTCTATATATATAATTTTTTAACACAACGGCAGTCTTCCCTCACACACACACACACACACACACACCAACATAAACACATACACACAAACACATACACACAGACACATACACATACAAATACAATACAAACACATACACACATATACAAACACATACACACAAACATATACACATACAAACACATACACACAAACATATACACATACAAACACACACACACAAACACATACACATACACACGGACACACACAGACACATACACACACACACATTTTTTTTTAATTTGGTGGCCATCTTCTGCCATGGCAGGGTGACTGAAAGAAGAAAACCTTCACCATCATTTATTCAATATCTCTCTTGCCAAACGTGTGCTGACATCACAATTCAGATTACTCTCTGACTGCTGCATCCCCACTCCTCCTGCAGAGTGCAAGCACTGCCGTTCTCACCTCCAGGACACTAGTTCAGCCAACAGGTTTCCCTGATTCTCTTCATAAGTTACCATACTCACTCCAACAGCACATCATGCCATAAAAATCACTCGCCTCCACTAACTCTGATTTAACATGCTCACACAAGCCTGTTGGATGTTCAAACCCCTAGCACTCAAAAACTCCTTTACTGCTCTCCCTCTAGCCCTTCCTGGGAGACAGCCCATGTGTTAAAAACAAACTAGGGGTGACTTACCTGCCAATGTAAATTTTGTGATAGAGGACCTTGAGGGGGCAATACTTCGTCCACACTAACTCAAAATGTGATGGAGTGTCAAGTACTTTATGGAGCTGTCCAATGTAATTGTAAGGTGCTTTAAATTTGTGAATGAGCAGTTTTCTGGCTTTGTATGTAGGTTGGGAATGACCTGATACAGTATTTGGCTTTTATGTATAAATTTGTGAATGGCTTGATTGTACAGAGTTAAAGGTGTACATAATGCTCTATTTCACCTTGTGTAAAGAAAAACATGAATTAAATTAATACTGACTTTATTTGATTTTTTTTATCCTTTTATATGAGAAATAATTTCTTAGATTTTTTATCCTCTTATGTGGGAAAGAAATAAGAAACTTAGGTGTTAAGGTAGTTGTAGTAGAAGCTGAGTTCATACTTACTTAAACTTGCCTGAATCTTAAGTTTTAAGTTTCAGAAGTAGATAATCTCAAGGAAGGTACCTTGATGCTCGTGAGGGGTTCTTGATTCAAGGAATTGAATTGGACCTGCTCTCCCTTTCTTTGGGTAGGACCTAAATGCTTCCCATTCCTCTAGGTGCTGTAAAACCCCTATGGATTTAATCTTCCCTCATGAATGTAATAATAGTGAATTGGTCAGCTGTTACATTCTGGCTAGGGAAGTAGCCGTAAGAACTTGTGTACGCTCACAATCCTGAGGCTTCTGCTGGGCACTTATTGGTTATTGGGGTTGAAGCACTAAGCCTAATGGATTTACAACCCACATGGTGCTTCAGTTCCCCGAATTAAGCCTGAATGCCTTCCACATCCCCCCCAGGCGCTGTATAATCCTCCAGGTTTAGAGCTTCCCCCTTGATTTTAATAATAATAACAATACAACCCACATGAACCTGGTACTTGTTTTTTTAATGTACTGTAATTAATGGTTACTAGAGTATCTCTATTACCCTGGAGCTCAAGTGTGTGTATGGTCCTTTCAAGGAGAGAGAGGTGCCTTGATGCTGGTGAAGAGTTCTTGATCCAAGGAAGACCTTTGTGGGTTTAGTGCTTAGTTATGACTAATAATAATAATAATTGATAAAAAGAATTTTAGTTAATCTTCCTTTGGATTAAACTTAATTGCCTTCTACTTGACAAGTGTTTCCCCATAAAAGAGGTTCTTCGTCCCAGTGGAGGGACTCGGTCCAAAGAATTGAATTATGTCCTCCCTTCAGATTGAATCTAAATACCTCTTCTCTCCATTTGTTAAATTCAGCACTGTTAAATTCTGCTGTGTTGATGACATGGCCAGACATTCAGAGAAAAAAATTATGTAAGCATGCTTTTATTTTCTTACCCCCTTCCTCTCCCTCTCTCTTCCTTCTCTCTCTTCTCTCCTCTTCCCTTTCTCCCCTCTCTTCAGCTGAGTCAGGTGTCAGGTCACATGTGAGGTGATATCTCAGTCTTATAAGCCTTCTGCTGTCTGTTATTTATTGATAATGTGAGAAATCACCTAATTACTTGGAAATCCACTAATTTTTCAAAGTGGTTATTTTGTATATTGTAATATCAGCTGTTTACTGTGAGCACAGATTGCTGTAGCATCATTCACTAAAACTGCTGAAATGTTCCATGTTTCAAGAACAACTGTATGGTCATGTCTGCATTCCAAAATGGTGCTAAGACAAGCTCCAACAATAGTATAGTGGATGCAAAAAGAATGTGTGTGACCAGGACTGTCTAATATTAATGTGTATTGAGTCAAGATGTCATGAGACTATAGCTGCAAAAGTGACTGCACAGCTAAATCACCATCTTTCAAACCAGGTTTCAACCAAAACAGTTGTCATGAGCTCCATGCAATTGGATATGGGAGGGCTGCAATTCCTAAACTTTTCCTTTCAGAAGCGAAGCACAAAAAATGGTGCAATGACTATAAGAATTGGACAATGGAGCAATGGAACTTTATGTACTCCAATGAATCTTCCTTTACACTTGACCAACTTCTGGCCGAGTTTACATCAAGGGACAGCCTAAAGAAGCTTGTAACTGTGAAGCACGGAGGCTGATCTGTGATGATTTTGGCAGTAACATTGTGGAATTCTCTTGGCCTGGCACTAGTACGTAGGGTTAACGCTCAAACATACTTTTCAATTTTGGGTGACTAAGTCTATCCCATGGTACAAACATTGTTTCCCAATGGCTGGACTATCTTCCAAGACTATAATGTGCCAGTTCACATCGCTAGAGTTGTTTAGTCAGCACTGTATGACCCTTGTGGGTTTAGTGCTGGGTTTTGGTTATAATAGAGTTGTTGAAAATTGGCATGAACATGGAAATGATATCGAGTAATTGGATTGACCCAGACACAATAAAGCTGCCTCTTAGTTGAAAGACAGTGGAGAGTGAAAGTCAGGTGTAGTAGGAGCACAGTTGACCATTTTATGTGTAAAACAGTGTGACTTTTATTCCCATTAAATCAGGTTAAATAAATTTCAGTTTATCACCTTTGAATGGCTTCATTAATTAATGACTGATACATATGATGGCCAGAATAATACCCAACTTGGACTTATTGGAAAGTCATGCCAGCCCCTCAAGGGAGGTTCCTTGATGCTGGTGAGGGGATCTGGATCTAGGGAACTGGATCTGTGCTCCAGTTCCTCGAATTAAGCATGAATACCTTCCATCCCTCCCCCCTCCCACAGGCGCTGCATAATACCTATGGGTTTAGCGCTCCCCCATGATTATAATAATGAATCCTCCCACTGTCACTTTGCTGTCAGTCTCACCAGTAAGTTTAGGTACAGGTAGACATAAGTACAATTATCACGCACAGTGGAAATTACCCACCAAGATAACTCCACGTGATGAGTTCTGGGTATTGTGCATGACTGTGGCCAGACAACCCGTCATTGGAGGTTCCTTGATGCTGGTGAGGGGCCCTTGATTTAAGGAATTGGATCTGTGCTCCAGTTCCCTGAATTGAGTCTGAGTGCCTTCCTTCCCCCCCCTCCCATCACAAATGCTCCCCATAATAATAATAATGTAGCCAGATCTACAGTCATACACAACAGTTGAGTTACAGTATGTATGTTGTTGTTACTCTTCTACAGAATCCTTGTATCACCCATGTGGGTTTACCACTTAGTTATTATTGACTCTACAGAACGCAGCATTACACACACACACACACACCAGAGAAGTGGGTAATCAGGGGATAAACGTAATAACAGAGAACGGGGGAGAGAAATAGTGGAGGTGAGAACAAGAAAAATGTGTAGAATTAAGGGAGAGAGAAGTAGGCAGAACAAGACTGACATCCACACTGCTTCAATGATTCTTTGCAATAATAATAATGATAATAATAATAATAGGGAGAGATGAGTAGAAAAGGAAGCTGGTAGAGAAGAGACGGGGAGGAAAAGAAAGCAGTGAGGGAGTAAGGACTGCGAGGGAGGGAGAGAGGAAGTTAAGGGAGGCAAAGAGGGAGAGAGGAAGCTAAGGGAGACAGGGAGGCAATGATGGAGAGAGGAAGTTAAGGGAGACAGAGAGGGAGATAGCAAGTTAAGGGAGACAGAGAGGGAGGGAGGGAGAGAAAAAGTTAAGAAGGGAGACAGAGAGGGAGGGAGTGAGAGAGGAAGAAAGGAGACAGAGAGGGAGGGAGTGAGAGAGGAAGTTAAGAAAGGAGACAGAGAGGGAGTGAGAGAGGAAGTTAAGAAGGGAGACAGAGAGGGAGTGAATGAGGAAGTTAAGAAGAGAGTGAGAGAGGAAGTTAAGAAGGGAGACAGAGAGGGAGGGAGTGAGAGGGGAAGTTAAGAAGGGAGACAGAGAGGGAGGAGAGAGGAAGTTAAGAAGGGAGACAGAGAGGGAGGAGGGAGAGTGGAAGTTAAGAAGGGTGACAGAGAGGGAGGGAGGGAGAGAGGAAGTTAAGAAGGGAGACAGAGAGGGAGGGAGGGAGAGTGGAAGTTAAGAAGGGTGACAGAGAGGGAGGGAGGGAGAGAGGAAGTTAAGAAGGGAGACAGAGAGGGAGTGAGAGAGGAAGTTAAGAAGGGAGACAGAGAGAGGGAGTAAGAGAGGAAGTGAAGAAGGGAGACAGAGAGGGAGGGAGTGAAAGAGGAAGAAGGGAGACAGAGAGAGAGGAAGTTAAGAAGGAAGACAGAGAGGGAGTGAGTGAGAGAGGAAGTTAAGAAGGGAGACAGAGAGGGAGGGAGGGAGAGAGGAAGTTAAGAAGGGAGACAGAGAGGGAGTGAGAGAGGAAGTTAAGAAGGGAGACAGAGAGGGAGGGAGTGAGAGAGGAAGTTAAGAAGGGAGACAGAGAGGGAGTGAGAGAGGAAGTTAAGAAGGGAGACAGAGAGGGAGGGAGTGAGAGAGGAAGTTAAGAAGGGAGACAGAGAGGGAGTGAGAGAGGAAGTTAAGAAGGAGACAGAGAGGGAGGGAGTGAGAGAGGAAGTGAAGAAGGGAGACAGAGAGGGAGGGAGGGAGAGGGGAAGTTAAGAAGGGTGACAGAGAGGGAGGGAGGGAGAGAGGAAGTTAAGAAGGGAGACAGAGAGGGAGGGAGGGAGAGTGGAAGTTAAGAAGGGTGACAGAGAGGGAGGGAGGGAGAGAGGAAGTTAAGAAGGGAGACAGAGAGGGAGTGAGAGAGGAAGTTAAGAAGGGAGACAGAGAGAGAGGGAGTAAGAGAGGAAGTGAAGAAAGGAGACAGAGAGGGAGGGAGTGAAAGAGGAAGAAGGGAGACAGAGAGAGAGGAAGTTAAGAAGGAAGACAAGAGGGAGTGAGTGAGAGAGGAAGTTAAGAAGGGAGACAGAGAGGGAGGGAGGGAGAGAGGAAGTTAAGAAGGGAGACAGAAAGGGAGTGAGAGAGGAAGTTAAGAAGGGAGACAGAGAGGGAGGGAGTGAGAGAGGAAGTTAAGAAGGGAGACAGAGAGGAAGAAGGGAGACAGAGAAGAAGTTAAGAAGGGAGATAGAGAGGGAGGGAGTGAGAGAGGAAGTTAAGAAGGGGAGACAGAGAGGGAGGGAGTGAGAGAGGAAGTGAAGAAGGGAGACGGAGAGGGACGGAGTGAGAGAGGAAGTTAAGAAGGGAGACAGAGAGGGAGGGAGTGAGAGAGGAAGTTAAGAAGGGAGACAGAGAGGGAGGGTGTGAGGGTGAACCAGGCAGTCTAGCAGTAGCAGCGGTGAAGGGAGGATGTACATCCTGGTGCTCTGTCTCACCGAGCTACCAAGTGCTACCTTCCCCTACACAAGGTGACGTGGGGGTCGACACCCCCCCCCGCGGCACCACATCAACTACGGTAATTACATTCTTAACTAGTTAGCCGCAGG